CCCACCCGCCCCACCGGGTCCGCCCTAGTACGCCAGGGCTCTTGACTTTGGGGCGCGCTCGCCTTGCTGCGAGCAAAGGCCGCTTTGCTAATCACAGGTTAGCACATTGAAGTGGGACTCGTTACTCGTCGCCCCGCGATGTTCTCAAGCTGGTGGCGGGGCGTGGCGTGGTGGGGCGGGACCGGCCTGAGTGGAACACGCTCGAAACATCCGGGAGCGTTCAATCATGGCCGTCAGTGTATGTTCCTGAAAACAAAAGCAAAAGAGCGGCGGCACGCCAACAACAATAACAACAGCCCTACAAAGCAACATCTGCAGAGTGAAAAGAATAACACAAAGAAAACAACAGCATCGAGATCAAAAGCACTCACAGGAGAGGTCGTGCGACAGTCACGGTGGCTACAGTGAGGATTTCTGTGCCGTGTCCGAGAAGCACGCATCATCGGTCGGCAGGGCGAGCCAAGAGTCCAATTTCTGCAGCCGGGGTGGGAGCACATCATTCGGAGACGACCGGAGAGGACAGCCGGGGACCTCCGGGGGGTGACACTAGAGTGCCTGGCCCGGAGTGACTGGAGCGGACCTCGGCGGGCCTGGAATGCGGCGGCGGGGGCCGGCCGGCGGTCGTAAGGCTTTGCGGCGTGGCGCTGCGGGGCGCTGCGGAAGGCGGCCGATGGCCGAGGGGAAGACAGCGCATTTCTGATCGCGACCACACGACATTGTGCGCGGACAGGGCCTCGGCCGTCACGGCCACCCCGGCCTTAATGAACTCCGCCTGCTCCGCCAGGCCACGCACCAGGAATGCGATGAGGGACCAGGGCGTCCGCCAGGACAGCACCTCACGCGCCCAGCGCAGTCAGTATTTTTATCGCGATGACGGCGTTATTTCAAGTAACGACAAAAGGCAGAGCAGGTCGGAAATAACGTTCCCCGGGCCGGGCTGCTCTGCTTCGGGCACTGCGAGGGCACGGCATCTTTCTTTCCCACGTGAAGATTGCTAAGCTTTCAGCCGTGTTCAGGAACTGCAAGTAAAATCCGAGAATGGTTGGGGGCCGGTACTTTCCCCTCCGGTAAATCGCAAACTGGCTGACGTCGTTTAGCGCCAAAATGTTGGCTTCCTCTTAAACACCAAATGCTGGCGTTCAACGACACCAAATACCCAGATATACCCCACATTCTAAATGTCAAGGGACAATTATTTTTGTCCGTTGCAAGATGCAACTGTGAGCGACATCTTGCAAAATACAATTTTGAAGCTTGTGCAATGACAATATTGTATCTACAGTTGGACCAAATAAAGATTTACCATCGTCTGCAGATGATAGAGTTCCGAGGAAAGAAGAACGGCAATATTTTGGCGTTCTTTACAGGACTTCGAGTATGGCGTTAAAAGACGCCAATCAGTTTACAGTGTAGAGACAACCTTGGGGACAGTCTAAGAGGCGGCCGATATCGTCCACGACGCCTCGACAAAAATTCTTTCCCCTTGTGGCGCCTCCCCATCTGGCGCCGCGGCGAAGCGGCTGCAGCGGGGCCACCATAACGGTCATCTCGCTGCATTCTTTGCCACATGGGCCGGCATGGGCGTGCCCGGGCGTGCCACTCCCCTCCCCCCGGCGCCGTGGTGACGATGGCGTTACGCTAACGCGAGAGCATTCATGGCGCGGCGTGGCGCGGCGTGGCGTGGCGTGGCGTGGCGTGGCGTGGCGCGGCGTGGCGGCGGTCGGGGGCTGCAGTCCGCTCCTGGTCTGGCCGGTCGCTCCGCTCCGCGCCGCCCGGCTCCAGTCTGAGGCAGGGCGCCGAGAGGGAAGCAGGCCCACCCCCAGCGCGGCGCGAGCGGACAGCGAGGCGAGCCGAGCGGAGCCGAGCGCAGCCGGCGGCGAGCGAGCGAGCGGTGTGTCGGCGACCCGACACCACCGGCCCGGGCCCCGGGCCGTCTGCATCTCGATAGTCGGCTGGACAGCGAGCGGACGCCGCCCGGACCAGGCCGAGCGGAAGCAAGCCGGCCGGCGAGGAGGACAGCGGCAGGCTCAGGATATCTCCCCGTCAGGTACGATAGACGAACAAAAACAACAAAGAGTAATGACGTCAATTTCGGGTGCGGTCGCTGCGGCCCGTCCGCGCCGTCGCGCTCCGCAGAGCGGGAGAGGTGTCTAAACGCCTTCGCCGCTGTCACCTGCTTGTCGCGCAGAGCAAGAAATCGCATTTTCCTTTTCTTGCCGCTGTCAGTCGCGTTCAAAGGCACAACCTCGGCGCGCGTGGTGGGGCGTGGCGGAGCGGGGTGGGGCTTCGTGGTGACGCGGGCCGTCCTCGTCCTGGAAGTCTCGCAGCCCCACACTTTCGGCAAGTGTTTTGGTGACCGGTGCGTCCCTTCCAGGAGTTGAACTGCGCGCGCATCGCGCTGGCCCGCAGTGCAGCGGCGGCAGCGGCCCGCCCGGGGCAGGCCGGCATGTCGCTGTCACATGTTCGCGGTTTTGGCTGGCGGCAGCGGGGGCGGCGGGGGCGGCTGGCAGGACAGAAGGACGGGGCCGGCAGGCCGGGCCGGTACAGCGGCCTCGATTAGGACGCAATCAACTTTGAAAAGCAATAACAGTTGCAATTTATGGACGCTGTGATGGGGTCAGCCCCCTCTCCCCCTCCTCCTCCCCTGTCTCCCCCTTCTCCCTGCTTCCTTCCAGCAAAAGCCCTATTCCCATCGTATCCGGACGAATGCACGCTGCAAGAATAGGAGTCTTTGTCAACGTCGGCCAATCGCTTTCGCATGCCATTTTCCTTTCACGGTTTGCTAGAATATTCCCCCCGCCTCCTCAACTGAACTGCTCCCTGCTCCTGGTGGAGAGGCGCCGTCAGGCCCGAGCGGAGGTCCCCGAGAAGGGCAAAGGCAGAGGCCCTTCAAGTAGACGTCCAATAACCTGTGGCCTCGTCGCCGTCTCGTCTCGAGCCGCGAGCAATATGCTAATTGACAGGAGGAGGCCGCGAGGGCCTCCGGGCAGAGATCGGATCACCGAGGACGGCCCGGACTTTACTGAAATAAATACACATTTCGCGAACTGTCTCCTTAATTAATTTATTGCTCGAATCGGGGATGGGTCCTTTAATTTCTTTTCCTCTCTCAAGGATTCAATAATTTCAGACCAGTCGTCCCACACAAGAGCCCTCCAGATTCTCCGAGACCTGTGTCCCCGCTGCCAAGGCCTCCATACCGGCCTCCACCGTTGCTCTGAAATCAGAAAACCGATCCGTTTTCGCAGCACGGCGACCCCCTCCCTGCTGCCCCTGGTGCCCTCCCCAGGGCAGGGGCGGCTGGAGGTGTGCGGTGGGCGGGTAAGTGCTGGGAGGGACGGGAACGAGACGCCTTAGTGCTGCTCGCCGAGCTGCTCGCCGAGCTGCTCGCCGAGCTGCTCGCCGAGCCCCAGCAGCCCAGTTCCATGCGCCGGCCCCGCCAGGACACGCCCGGCGCGCTGTCAGCTCGCAAGTCACGTCAAAACGACTTCTTTTTCCTCCCCGCCGCCACCAGCCGCCGCCCCCCGCGAGCGCTCCGGGTGTCCCTGCCGTACGCGCTCCCAGATGAATCTTCTGCTCCCCGAGTGAAACCCAACCCATCATGTCATGTCGTGTCACGGACTTTTTCCTTTCTTTCCCCTGACAAAAACCGAATGTAGATTTTTTTTTCAAAGGCGATTCGGCGAAATGTTCTATGCTGTTATTTAATTATTGTACTTACCGCTGTATCTCTGAAAACGGGAGTGAGGGTAACCAATAGGCTGTAGCTGTAACAATAGGCAAACACCGAAAAGTCAACACTCTCGACTGCACAATTGTGCGTGTGTGTGTGCACAGTTATTCGACAAAAAACGAGACATTAACAAAACACCAGATTAAGATTTTTCAAAAATATTCGAGCGGAGTGTTTTTACGAGTTTGTCACTTCTTTACATCTGATTATCATTTCGTCCTCCTGCTTTTAAAATTAAAAATTACTTTATCGTTGGCTGACCAGGCGGGGCTCCTGTTTTAAAACGCTGAGCCGGGCTGGTCGTGCCGCAGGCGCATGCGCGGCGCACCACCAACCATATCACTATCATCCAAGAACGTAATTGTGTCTGTACCGCCCCGCGTCCCGGTGCGAGCGGGGCGGGCCGCGGTGGCGCGGGGAGGGGAGGCTGAGGGGGATCGCATCCCCGTCGGGCAAACAAGCCACCCAGGCCGCGGATAGCACAGCCCGGCACAGCCCACCACCGAGCCGCCCGTTGAGAGGAGTCGAGTCAGGACCACGCCAAAAGGTCGTCGCCTCCAACCAAAACTCAATAAGGGACACTCACCACTCCCCCCTCTCTGCCTCACACTTGCCCTTGCCCTCTCCTCCGCAACTCTCCGAGGTAGGCAGCGCGGTTGCCTACCTCCGGTCTGCTGGGCGCGCCGGACGCACTGTACAAACAGCGAGGCCAGAAACTCCACGGGAGGAATGCATGAGGAAAAGAGGCCACTTTGCTCTCCCCCCGCTCTCGCAAGTCAAGTCCCCTATCTCCGCTCTACAAACTACGACATGTCTTGCACTCTCTTTGAGCATAACGAAACATGTCCTGCACAATCAACAAACTGCTTGCTGCGAGACACTTTTGCCATGCACAATGGCGCGTGGAAATGTCTCACACTTGAAACTGAAGGGCGGCCCCATTCGCAGAACAGAGCCTCTTGATCTCAAAATAAACGTCGCCATAATCAGAACCCTGGCGCGCGTTCCGCATATTCTTTGTTAATAAGACACTGCCATTCATTCCTTTCTTTTTCGTGCTGCCTCCTTTTTTATTTTTTTCCTTCTTTCCGTCCGGGGACGGAAAAGCAACGACCAACTAAAAGGTATGCCGGTTTTCTTCCTCGAGTCCATCTTACTGATGACGTGCGCAAAGTCACTGCCTTCCCCTCCCCCGCATTGTACTCGCCGCTCGTCGCTTGGCGGCGCGCTTCAGAAATTTCGGGGTTGGGGGTGAAGCGCGCGAGGAGAGCGGGCGGGAGGGGAGGAGGGGGGGGGGGGGATAGGAGTATAAGAGCGTGCAATTGTTGCGTGGGGCCCGAGAGGAGCTTTGACCGAGTTGATGGCACCCATCTGTTGGAAAGAACAAAGCCGTGCTGGAGACGCCTCCCTTCCCCTACCTCTCCCCCGAGTCGTCGCCTTTCTCCCGTCCTTGCTCTCATCCTTGTGGCATTCATACACACACAGAGTCGTCTGTCACACCGGCCGGCTGCCCGCTGCTGGGGAAAGGAATAAAAACACGTCACCTCCCACCACCACCCACCACCACCACCCAGCGCCCTCCTGCAGGAGTATGCTCCCCGCCGCCCTCAAGCACCGCACCGTGCAGCACAAGCACACGCACGTGTGTCGTTGAAAATGCTGGTGATATTGCGTGCGCCGAGGAGTTGTGTCTCTCTACAGGAAATTCGACTGTCCTAGTCCAAACTTATTTGAAATATTGTAATGGTTTTTGATTAACTTGCATGATACAGGGGGTGTGGTCAGTGTTGCGATAAAAGTTAGGCAAAAATTTCCCACGAGTACACCTGTGTGGAGCAGGCTGCATCTACGCCTGCCTACTGTGCAACACCTAAGCACGCGTGTGTAGATGTACACAGGACCTCCTGCATACACGTAGGTATGCAGGCAGGAGGTACTGCATTCAAGTACACACTTGGGTTCGTAGAGCACCCGTAAGGCACCATGGCTCATGGCTCCGTTCTGCTAACCTGCAACTTTGTTGTGCCATAGCCCTGACACACGATCTGTAATATTCAGCGTTGATTAACGTCAAAATGCATGATGTATTCTTTTAGGTTATTTTTATACTTCTTTTCGAAAAGTTGCGCAGTGAAGGCTCAGGGCGTTGCGGCGTTTAAAAAAAGTAGAAGGTCAACACAAAAAAAAAATCAACGCAGCGTTCCTGTATTATCTTTATCGGGGTCCCTGAAATGACTACCGGTCGCTTCCCAGCGCCCCAGCCGCAGCACGCTGAAAAATGCGGGGGAGGGGTGGGGGAGCGAAATGTTTTGCTTGCAAGAAAAAGTTTACAACGCATGCAGAGTTCTGTAGCGATGCCGTCGGGGTAAATGTTTGTTCGTGGGGACCACCTGGAACAATGGCGAGTCTGGATGCGATGTGAAACAAACGCAGCATCAAAAAAACAATCTGCTTCCTATCCGTGAGATACAGATGCTGCCCGGTGTTGCCCCGCCCTGTGGGTGTTTCCAGAGCCGCCTTTG